TCCGGCTGATTTTTTTGATTTATTGTAGAGATGAGGTCTCGCTGCCCAGGCAGGTCTCGAGCCCGCGGGCTCAGGCAATCCACTCACCTCAGCCTCCCAAAGGCGTGGGATTACAGGCTGAGCCACCGAACCCGGCCAGATTGAATTTTTCAACCTCACAGAGCCAATTATAAATCCTGAGGCATTCTCTCCATCAATTAAACCAACTTAGAATATTTGATGCCACTTAGAACTTTTACATTTGTTTTAAAGCAGGAAAATAAGTAAACATTAATTTTCCTTCTTTAAAATGTGTTGCATAGTCCTCCTGGGGATATTGATCATACGCTATTGATATTTTTAAGATTGCTATCTTTTGTGGATGTATCTTTGGTAACTGCATTTTCCATGACCCCTTCTACCAACTGTACTGCTACACCCTTAGGCTATGCCACTATCAGCTCTGGCTTGGGCTCTCAGTTCTGACTGACTGCCCTGTTTCCATTCTTAGCTTCCCACATCCACACGGTAGCCATAATGATCTTTCTAAAGGAAATACCAGATTAAATAATTTCATTTCCAAAAACCCTTCAGTGGTTTTCTAGTACACATAGAATAAAAACCCAAACTCTTCATTATGGCCTGGAAGGCCCTACTTCCCGACTCTGTCTCTGAACTTTCCATCTTGCTTGCTATGTTTCAGCCATGGCTTCCCTTTTGATCGTGGAGTACACCAAGCTTGAGCCTGTTTCAAAGACTTTGTTTTTCTTACCGATTTTTGAATGTTCTTTTCTTAGATGTTCACATGGTTCTTTTTTCTCCTCCTTGGAGTCTGAATACAAAGGTCATTGACTTAGAGAATCTCTCTTCAGCTACCTAGTGAAATCAGCACCCTCTTCATTACTATCTACCACGTTGTGTTTGCTGTTGTTGTTGTAGTTTTTATAGAGACGAGGCCTCACTATGTTGCTCAGGCTGGTCTTAAACTCCTGGGTTCAAGCAATCCACTAACCTTGGCTTCCCAAAGTACTGGGATCACAGGCTGGAGCCACTGTACCCAGCCTCTACCACATTGTCTTACTCTGTCCTCATCACCCTGAAACTGTCTTATTCATTTTTAATATGCTTTTTGTCTTTCTTTCCCTGCTAACATATTTAGCTTTTTAAGGTCAAGTTAGAGACTTTCTTCTCACTGCAGTACACCCAGTTCCTAAAACAGGGCCTCACACATATTGGATGTTCAATAAAAATTTATTGATGGATAAAAATGAATTTTTTAAGTTGAAATTATTGTTTTTAATGAAGTAAAGCAAAAGACAATTTTGTGCGTATTTGTATTTTAAATTCAAAAGCTCTAAGTGCAGGCTATAGTGTAGGCACTTGAGGATCAGACAGACCCTGGTGTTTGAATCCTGGCTTTGCTGGGACCATAACTGAGAAGACGCATGCTGTCCCAAGAATAAAATGGGGACTACACTACTTGCTTCATGCGCATGCTCATGGGCATAAAAGTGCCTTGCATGTAAGTATTTGGATACTATGGAAAATATGAATCCCTCTTCCCTTACAGTTTCTGCCATGGCTAGAAAGTGTGAGCAAGGGAAAGGAAATGCAGAGCTAGGACCCATTACCTTTGTTTGAAACCGAAGTTAGGAATGCTTATAAATGATTTGGTTGGTCATATCCTTTCCCTACCACCACAGCTCTTCAGAAAATAAAAGAGCCCGAAAGTACCTTGCAGCCTTTAGGAAAACTTAAACTCTAATGTCCCTTAGGGAACTATAAAATTGTCTTAGCTCATTTCACTCAAGCCAGGGATGTATGACTTGTAAAGTCAAGTGTGAAGTCCACCCCAGAAATGTTTGCTTTTCTCATTCTGGAGTTGCCCAGAAGAGTCTCAGACTTTGGAAATGGCATTTATGTTGAACAGATTTCCTCAGATAACTAGAATAAGTTTTAATGTTTAAAGTTACTGAGTAGAATATAATGTTTACAGTTTAAAGACACAACTTTAACTCACATACCTCAGAAGCAATTTCCTCTCTCCTAGCATTGTTGTATATTTACCTATTTGTACTTTAAGAAGAACAATTAGGAGATATTCTTAACTATCAAATTATTCATTCATTCACCATACATTCACTGAACACTCACTATATGTCAGGCACTGTGCGAGGCACAAGAGCAGGTACCTAGATGAAGAGTTATTTCCTCTGCTTGAAAGAGGTGTATAACTCTGTGGGGAAAGAGACTCATCAGTAATTACAGTGCAGGGAAATACATGATTTTGTAAAAAGCAGTTGCAAGATGGTATAGGAGTTCAGGTAGGAATGTGTATTTTAATGCACACCTATTTTAGGGCATGACATAAGGGGTGAAATAAGGTGGCCACTTACTCTATTGTGAGCTCTTCCTGGGAAGACTCCTGTTTCAGCATTTTGGTCTGGCTAACTTTAAATGGGACATCTAAGCTGAAGTTGGCAGGCATTCAAATGCATGTCTCCTTAGGGCCAATCTGTTCTATTTCGTGCCATGAAACTTCAGCTGTTGAGGAAAGAGCAAGTTCACCATCTCATTCCAAAAATCTAGAACAAGTCTAAAAATATGTGTAGAAGAATAGCTACATAAATTACGGTATCTCTTTAGGACAGAATTTTATGATATTATTGAAAGCCATAGAAAGGAAACATTTTAAAAGTCTAGGGGAAACACTTTCTTAGAGCAGAATGTTAAATGGAAAAAAAAGTATATAATATTGTATAAACTGAATAATCTTAAGTATTGAACAAGAGAAATATATAAAAGATTAGTGATGAGGTTATGGGCAATTATTATGCTCTGCTTTTCTGCATTTTCTAAGATTCTACAATGAGCATTTTTTTTATAATCAGGAAAATTGATGCTTATTTTTTAAAACAGTCCATTTCATTGCTATAGTTTGGCTGGTCGAGTGAAGCACGTTGTTCACCAGGCCTTCTGGGACGTGTTGGAATCAGAACTAAACGCTGACCCTCCTGAGTATGAACATGCCATCAAACTGTTTGAAGAAATCAGAGAGGCAAGTTGTTGTTGTTTGTGTCAATTAATGTCTTAGTCCGTTTGAGTAGCAATAACAGACTGCCATAGATTAGGTGGCTTATAACAATAAAAATAAACATCTCACAGTTGCAAAGGCTGGGAAGTCCAAGATCAAGGCACCAGCATATTCGGTGTTGGGTAAGGGCTTCTTTCCTAGTTCACAGATGGTACCTTCTTGCTGTGTCTTCATATGACAGACAAGGGAGCTCTCTAGGGCTTCTTTTATGAGGAAACTAATCCCATTCATGTGGACTCTACCTTCATGACCTAATCACCTCCCAAAGCCCTACCTCCTAATATCATCTCACTAGGGATTGAGTTTCAACATATGAATTGGGAGAGGGGCACAAACCTTGAGACCATAGTAATCTTTTTTTCCAAAAACTGTTTCAGGTCCTTTAGTATTGTCCACTCTTTAAAAACTGAACGAGTTCACTCACTGGGAGGGTTTTCCCTTGTACTTCCTAGAATAGGGTGAAGGCTGGGAAAATAGTGTAGTATACAGAGCTCAGGGTGATGCTTACAACACAGAACACTGGTTAAGAGCAAAGACTCTGGAGTTAGTTTTCCTGGTTTAGTGATGGGTTCTTTCTTTAAGTCTCTGTTTCCTGAGTACTTACAGGGGAGTCATAAGAATTAAGTAAAGTGACAGTTGCCATTTTAGCTAACATTTACAAGGCACTTGCTCTCTGCCAAGCACTCGATTATTCATTTATTCCTGTCATAACACTGTGAGGTAGTTACTCTGTTATTTTGTATAAAGAAAGCAAGTTCCCAGACTCATGCAGGACCATGTAACTTTGAGGAGTGGCAAGGGATTTGAATCGAACAACTCAGTTTGAGAGCCCAAGCTTCTAACGGTGTGCTATGTGTATATATTCAGTGTCCACTGTCTACTGAATATCCATTAAATACATTGTTTATATAATATAAATTATATATTATATATTATATATATATATATTATACTTAACGGTTCCTATGGGTATTCTAATCTATTCTTTTTTAAAGGATTCTCTTGGAGCCATGATCTGCAACTTGTTTTTCTTTCTCTACACTGTTTACCTATAGACTTTTGGAAGTGCAGCAGGTCCTTGAATAACATTGTTTGATGAGGAAAAAAAAAGTGATTCCCAGATGGGGCCACTCTCTAGGTGGGGCTTGCATGTTCTCCTAATAGTTTGCATGGGTTTTTTTAAGGTATTCCAGTTTCCTCTCACATCCCAAAGATGTGCACATTGAGTTTATTGGCCTGTCTAAATGGTACCCTGTAAGTGAGTAGTGTGTGTGGTGGTGGGGGATGGCATCCTTTACAGGGCTGCAACCCTGAACTGGAATAAGCAGGTTAGAAAACAAATGAGTACAAATGATTGTAAAATAAAAATTCATAAAGTATATTATAATTATATACAAATGCATGACAATAAGTGTTTGGCGTGAGGCTCAGCAGACCCACTGTATTTGTTATTGTTTGTTTTTGAACTGTGTGGTAGAAGGAGGTGCTCCTGAAAATGTTTGCTTTGCAAACATTTATTCCTTGTTTTAACCCACCACCACTATGACCACTGGCATGCACTGATTCACCAAACGTTAGGTAAATAATTATTTGACTTGTTTTTGTTAACCTTTCTTAAGTGTATGTATAGCTCACATTTGCTTCAATTTGTAATATTATAAGTATGTTGAGTCCTTATTTAGAAATTTGGTGATATTTTGTGACTAGAAATATGTTGGAGGAACTTAACTGTTGTTTATATCAATTACTCTATGGTAAAATTGGTCTCATTCTACATATTTTGTTTCACTTAAAGTTGCAGTTTCCAAGAACCTACCAGCAACAATATGTAAGGACTTACTATGCGTTCAGTAACAGTGCTTCCTTGCTAGTTTTCATCCTAACAGGGTTGATGATTTCCCATAATGGGGGCACTTTAATTCAGAAGAAAGACCTTTTTTTTTTTTTTTTAGGGTTGAGACACTGCAGTGCTCCTCTGATCCACTACACAGTTTATTTCAACTTCTGTGACATCCAGGGCATTAAAATATGAACAAGGAGTTTGGTCATCTGGACACTGAAGTGAAAACTAACAACCCTTATTCACGTAATGATGCTGTTAATTATTCTCTTTTTCCCTGTGTAGATTCTTCTCTCTTTTCTGACACCTGGAGGCAACCGGCTTCGAAACCAGATCTGTGAAGTTTTAGACACGGACCTCATTAGGCAGCAGGCTGAGCACAGTGCTGTCGACATCCAAGGCTTGGCCAACTATGTCATCAGTACAATGGGAAAGCTGTGTGCTCCCGTGCGAGATAACGCTATCAGAGAATTAAAGGCTTCTGGCAACATCGTGGAGGTGCTGAGGTTAGCACTTTTGCAGCTTGTGTTTTCTTAGAGTATCTTCGAAAGAGAAAAGTTCATTCAAAAGACAAGTGTGGTCAGGGAGCACAGAATAATAACTGGTCTCTCAAAGGAATTCTTGACCCTAGAAGAAAACCAGATAAGCAACGAGCAAGTCAATCATTCACTGTGGGCAGAGCTTTCAGATAGAATGATCTAACAAGGTTGTTAGTTGTCATGTACTGGGCCGTGGGGGGTGCAGTGATGAAAAGACAGATATAATTCCAGACTCCAGGGAGTTTACAGTCTAATGGGGAGAGAGACCTTGAACAATTAATTATAATTGTGATAAATACTGAGGAAGGGGAAGCAGAGGGTCTTAACAGAGCCACCAGCAGGAGGACCTAATCTAATCAAGGCTTTTTTATGGCTTAGGGTCACTAGCTGCTATAACACACAGACCCTGAATTCTCAGGATTTAACCAATAAAGTTTATTTCTCACTCATGGTGCAGTCTGATCCAGGAGTTCTTGGCCAGACAGCCTTCCGCATGTCATTTAAAGACTCCTCTGTCCTCAGTTCTACTCCTCCCCAGGTCCCAGGAGTCCTCTCCATTCAGCTGGCAAATGGGAAGACATCATGGGGAATGTATATGCTGTATGTAATCATCTGGCCCAGAATTGCCACATTTCCTTGACCATGACTGGTCACATGATCCCACCTAGATCGAAGGGGGTATTGAGAAGAGTCGTTGCTGTCTAGAAACACATTTTACAGCCACAGATCTGCACTGCTGGGAGTGTGGTCCTTTAGTGGTCAGCTAGCTATCTCTGCTGCAGCTCTCCTGAGGAAGTGTGGTGTATGTTAAATCATGAGAATCTCACCTGGCCATGTCGATATAACTTTATGTGATCTGAGAGGAAAGACGAGTCTGCAGCATTTTTTGCCGTTAGGGGAAGTTTTCTTTTTTTGTGTGAATATGGCCACATTGAGTATTGGGTTTTATGTAATTGTTTTTGAAAGGCAGGAGAAGGAAACTAGTCTGCATGTAGCAGGTAACTTACTTTGTGACCTTGGACAAGTTGATGGATGCTCAAAGTGATACTTCCCCTGTCTGTAAAATGGGCTTTATGATTCTTAGAGTTGTGCACAGCTCTGGCAGATTGTGATTTTTCAGTCAAAGGATCCTTCTTCCCGTTATCTTGTTACTTGCATAAGATACCAAATCTGTGATGTTCATCTTGGTCATTTATTGAGCACCTACTGGGTGTCAATGCCCCCTGTACTTTATGTTCCTTGTCTCATTGATGGTTCACAACATCCCTCCAAGGCTGATGTCCTCTTCTTTCACAGATGAGGAAACTGAGGCTGCAGAGATTGAGTAATTTACACATGCCCACAAATCTGATAAGTTGCAAAGCTGGATTTGATCACAGGGCTGCCCAACTCTAAAAGGAAGTGTTTTTCCTCAATGCCTCACTGCCCTGTCTTTTCTTTGTTTCATTTCTTTCTTTATTTTTCCTAGAAATAGGAACAATATGCACTATGTTCAGACTCCTTAAGATTTCAGAGGCTTTTAAATGAAAATTTCTTCAGTTTTTCATATATTATTAAGACTAATAGTTCATGCTTCTTAGTGTCTATCAGTTTATGACTGGATGTAATGGATCAGTGGTGATATTACATCTGCTAAAGTAAATACTTTTGAGATTTGTGGAAGAACACAGTTTTTGTGTGACCTTTTATAAAAAATGACCTTGCCAAATACTGATAGGAATTTCAAAACCATTTGGGGTGTATTTATTCTTTTCAGTTTGGAACATAGATAACAGTTAATGAATTTCAGTTTAACTTCTTAATCGCCTCTCTAACTATTTTAACTCCAAAATTTTTAGACAAATATTCCATGTCCTGGACCTCATGAAAATGGACATGGCCAATTTTGCAATTAAGAGTCTTAGACCCCACCTTCAACGCCAGTTGGTGGAATATGAGAGAACCAAGTTCCAGGAAATTTTAGAAGAAACTCCAAGTAAGTATAATATAATGTGTATTTATATTTAAATTGGGTAAAAATATGGTATTTTAATTTTTGACATCTTCCAAAATGTCACTAAAGAATTTTGGCCTTTCTATTAATTTAATCTTTACAGCTGTAGGAAGTTTTATAGGAGAGAAAACTGAGGCACAGAGAGGTTAAATCACTTGCTTTCATAACACAACTTATAAGTATAGAGCTGGGACTCATGCAGATCAGGTCATCTGGCTTCACAGTCCACGTTCCTATCCATTACATTAATATTCTACCCAGTGAGACTACCTGGGGAATGTGTAGATTCTGAAAGGGAATGACCTGGGACACTCCAGCATCTAGAAATTGAGATGAGGAGGAGGGTCCAGAAATGGAGACTATAAAGTAGTAGTCAGAAAGGTGGTGTGAAAATCAGGAGTGGAGCAAGGGGTATCCTGTAAGATACGGGAAGAAAAAGTGTTTGGAGGATGGCATGGTTGAATGTGACGAGTGCTACTAAGTGACCAAGAAAGATGAAGGCCATGGCTTGACTGCTGGATTTGACTGCATGGTGATTGTTGGTAACCTTGATGAGATCAGTTTCGGTGGAATTGTGGGCATTACAACCAGACGGGAAGAGGTCAAGGAAGAATAGAAGAGGCATTAGCTCACTGAGTCTTCACAATTACCAGTTACGCAGTGAGGTAGGCACTGTTTTCCCCTTCTTTTTACAGATGAGGAAACAGAGATGCAGATGTTGCACAGCTGGCAAAGATTGGCTAACTGCCCACTGGCAAACTCTTGACACCACCTCTGGGGTTTAATTAACCACAATCTAAGGTTGAGTTAGGTTGTTTCTGTCAAAATAATCAACACAATAGCCTTATGTAAAAAAACACAATAGGTGCCACTTTTAAGGGGGCTCTGGCAGACAGGAGCACATTCAGAGGAGAGTACATAGATTATGGAGGGGCATATGAGGAACCGTAGGTAAGGCTGGGCATGTTCTGCTTGGTAACCAGGACACTTGAGTGGGTCATGGCACCTCCCTCCCTGTTCATAGAGTTCCAGCAACTTTGGTGAAGTTCTGTAGAGCAGACTAAGATCCCCAGGAGGGAAGTAGCAGATACTTAGTTTGGACTTTCCTAATAGTTGTACCTGTTTTTTGTTTTGTTTTGTTTTTGTTTTGAGTTGGAGTCTCACTCTGTAGCCCAGGCTGGAGCACAGTGGCATACTCACAGCCACCGCAGCTTCAACCTACTGGACTCAGGTAATCCTTCTACTTCAGCCTTCCAAGTAGCTAGAACTACAGGTAGACGTCACCACACCCAGCTAATTTTTTACTTATTGTAGAGATGAGGTCTCGCCATGTTGTCCGGGCTGGTCTTGAACCTATGGGCTCAGGCAGTCCTCTTGCCTCTGCCTCCCAAAATGCTAGGATTACAAGCTTGACCCACTATGCCTGACTTAGTTGGAGCTGTTTTAACTGTGGAATGGGCTTCTCTATTACTAGTAGGAGTCAGTGCTAGCTAACATTTTGCTTGACCACTTATTACATGCCAGGCCCTTACTGTGCCAAACACTCTATTTGTTCATTCATACCTCATAATAACCCTATAGGATTGGTGCTGTTGACCGGGTTCAGTGGCTCAGCCTGTAATCCCAGCACTTTGAGAGGCCAAGGTGAGTGGATTGCCTGAGCCTGCAGGTTCGAGACCCACCCAGGCAACTTAGTGAGACCTTGTTTCTATAATAAATCAAAAATTAGCCAGGTGTGGTAGCATGCGCCTGTAGTTCTGACTACTTGGAAAGCTGAGGTGGAAGGATCGCCGGAGCCCAGCGGGTTGAGGCTGCAGTGGCTGGGAGCAAGCTACTGCACTGCAGTCTGGGCGACAGAGTGAGACTCCAACTCAAAAAAAAAAGGTTTGGTGCTGTTATCACTCCCTATTTACAAATGAGGAAAATGAGGTTCAGGTACTAGGTGAATGCTAGTAAGTGACAGGACCTGAAAGCATGTGCATTTAGACACTATGGAACACTGTCCCTCTTCAAATAAGATGTCAGCTCTCTGTGGGTGGTATTGCAAAGGGGTCTCTGGGATCAGCTGGCAGAGACTTTCTAGTCATCTCGATATCTAGGTATCTAGTCTGATAACTTCTAAGGATTCTTCTACAAAACTTCTATGACTCAAAGGACTATGTTGTTTTAGCTCCAAAGGGATAGAGGAAGTAAGAAAAGTAGAACCCTACAGAGAACCTGAATCTGAAACCTGAACCGTGGCAACTGTTGTCAGCAGCATTTTCCTGAGGCTTAGTGGTTGGTTTCATTTGTGTGCCTGTGTATGTGTCCATGTGTGCAAATGAGTCCATGTCTTGAATCAAGATAGCTGGGAATCTTGAGCAAATTCCTTAATATAGGGTTGAATTATGATTTTGTTCATTTCTGATTGTTTCATTTTCTTCTCTCTCTCTTTTTTGAGTTGGAGTCTCACTTGTCTCTGGAGTGCAGTGGCACACTCATGGCCACCACAGCCTCAACTAGCTGGGCTTAGGTGATCCTTCTGCCTCAGCCTTCTAAGTAGCTGTGCTTCTTTTTTTAAAACCCAGGCTTAGTGACCTGTAATTATTTGTACCTTTTGTGTTGATTGGATATTTTCAGAGATTTAAGAATAGAGACTGAGTACAGTGGCTCATGTCTGTAATCCTAGCACTTTGGGAGGCCAAGGCAGGAGGATTACTTTAGGGCAGGATTTCAAGACCTGCTAAGCAGAGTGAAACCCCATCTCTACCAAAAAAAACAAAATTAAAAAATTAGCCAGGTATGGTAGCACGTGCCTATAGTCCCAGTTGCTTGGGAGGCTGAAGTGAAAGGATTGCTTGAGCCCAGGAGATCAAGGCTACAGTGAGCCATGATTGCACCACTGCACTTCAGCGTGGGTGACATAGCAAAACCCTGGCTCAAAAAAAAGTTAAAAAAAAGCTTTGCATGCAGGTCATTATTACCCAGCAAGAGAAATCAAGAGTCCAGGAAGCAGAGAGTATGGCAGCTGTTAATAATGTCCCGAGTCACTGTGCCAAAAGTCAGCCCCTCTGCTCTATTATCCAAATAAGAGCCTCACAGTATCACACAGAAGGACAAAAGGGTTGCTGGATTTTTGTGTAAGAATTATTGGAAATAAAAAGTGAAAGAAAAAAAGAATTATTGGAAAGCTAATATAGAGAAGTACTCTAGATTTTTTTAATGACTCCAGGAAAATATTTTATTTTACCTAAGGAGAGATTTTTATATAATTGCCTATTTAAAATATACCCAGGAAAAGGGAAAAAATAAAATAAAATAAAATATACCCAGGAAACCCTTAGGCAATGATTGAGTGTGTGTTCTAAGTTAGCATCAACAAGGTAACTACATTAGATTCAACAGCTAAATTACCTGTGGAAAGAGTAACATATTATCCCTGGACAGGACCATAAGTAATTTTTAAAAACCCAGAAAGAAAAGGTTTTATTTATTTAGATAATATCTTATATCTGATAAAATGTTTTCAGGAACTTTCTTCCATGTGATTCTTTCAAAAATTCTATGGGACATAAATATCTCTTTCAGAAATAGATCAGACTGCATTGGGATTGCCTTTGCCTGACACAGAAGGCGTTCAGGAGATATTTATAAAACATCCTCAGGAAAAAAAGTGCATACTGATGCTCAAGGATGACCTCCTTAAAGCCAGACTCACACAGCTAATGAGTAGTGGAGCTAGGTCTCCCATGTCCAAGTCCAGATTAAACCACGCTGCTATTTTTCCTACTTTCTTTGGATTTCTCAGTTTTGTGTTATATGACCTGGGTTATATTGCAAGCAACAGAAACCAACTCTAGCTGACTTAACCAAAAAGGAAGTGAATGGAAGATTGGAGGCAGTTTACAGACTCAAAGGAAAAGCTAAAATACCAGATACCAGAAGAGCATCCAGAATCTGGGCAGGAAAGCAGGGATCCATCTTCATGTGCACCTCAGACATGGGCCATCCTTGAATACTCTGGTCCACTCAGTCCCAGGAAAGAGGTCGACGGGCATCTGTCTCAGCTAGGACAACTCCTGGTTGGAGAGACAAGGCCCCTCAATTGATATTTGCAGAAGTAAACAGAATGAAGGAAAGTGACTTCTCAAAGAAAATCAGTACCAAAAGAAGAGAAAGTGAGGTATTGCTAGGCAAAAAACAGCAGATGTCATGGATAAGGGGATTATATTTTTCTAACTGAAGATTTGGGGCACTTAAGTAAGTGCACCTGTCAGGCCATTGCTTGTTTCTCTCTTCTACTTGACTAAGAACTTCTTGAGTGCAGGGACTGTTTATTTATCCATGAATCCCCAGTACTTGGTACAATACCTGGAACCTAGAAGGTATTCAGTAGTTATTGTCAAATAAATGAGGGAATCGAACAGCTTTTGATACTGTTCCCATGAAAAACTGAGAATATAAGTGCCTCATGGGATTGACCCTGCTTTTGGAGTCACATAGAGCAGTCAACTTGCTAGCTTGTAGGAGTGAAATCTCAGCAGATCCCTGAGAGAAAAGCCAATCTTTTCTCCAAACACATTTTCGTTCTGCTTTACCAGTTGTACTCAATTCTGACTACATGTTAGAATCATCTGGGCTTTTAAACACAGAGGCCTGAGCCCCGCCTTGAACTGAATAATTCAGAGTCTTCAGGAGCTATGTCCACCATTATTTTTTTTTTCTTGTTAAAGCTCCCGGGATGATTCTAACTAAAGTCAGCCAGGATTGAGAACCACTGTGCCACACTGTTGCTTTTGTTCGAGATGATTAAATGGGCTTTTAAATGTGTCAGCTATAAATGATTAAACTTGCAGTATAATGCTTATTACGCCACATTGTAATTATATTCACCATGATTTCTACTCGCTTGCTCTCAGTTGGATGTCTTTTAAATAAAAGACTGCAAGTCTTTTACATCTTTATAAACAACTAGCAAACCAAGCTCAACATTTGGCAACTGA